TTCTTTCTTTCGGTCTCTCTGTCTCTGTCTGTCTGGGGAGCGGATGCCCCCTATAGTGAAAACCTCTCCCCCCCCCCCCCCCAAAAAAAAAAGAAAAGAAATAAGATTTGCTGTCTCTGGTCAAGGTTGGCAGTCCGACCTTTTGGCCATATCCTCTCAGTTTGCCTTTTTTTTTTCAATAAGAATTATTTCATTTAACTCCATTCATTCAATTGTCCATTTAAATTTATTTAAATTTGTTTTATTTATCTAAGTTTAATTATTTAGCTATTTATTTAAGTTTGTTTGTTTGTTTAAATTTGGCCAGAGTAGGACAGAGTGGGAGCCAGAGCAAGAGCAGGGGCACAGGGAGGAGTGAGAAAGAAAATCTCCAGGTCTGGGACTTAAACCGCAGTCAGCCATGTGAGAGTCCAGTGCCCTTAACCACCACGCCACCTGCCAGCCCCAGATCACCTGTTTTTATACGCAGAAGCTACTGGGTCATAGACATACCCATTGTTTACAGATTGCCTATGGCAGCTTTGTCTTACCATGGTGGAACTGAGTAGCTGCAGCAGACTGTATGGCCCACAGAGCTGGGAAACATTTACTTTCTGACTCCTTATAGAAAAAGTATATCCACCCCCATTATCTAGTTAGAAAAAAATGACCTAAATATTGCCAATTTGAACATAAATTTGAGAATCTTTATGGAAGTGATTTTATTTAGTCTTGTCAGAGGGCACATGTGCTCACCAGAGAGAGACGGGGGGTGGGGGGAGAAAGCATCTCCCCATGAGGGATGGTGATGTTGCAGTCATTTCTCCATTTATCCATCCTGTTGGGATTTGGGGCATGCTCACACATGCAGAGTTTTCTAAGCTGCCAGGTCTGGCACTTGAATCATGCAGTTGGTCGTGTGAGAGTTAGCCTCCTTGAGCAGTATATCACCAGTTGGCCTCTGATTTTATTTTTTACAAATGATCTTTCATGTGGACGTAGCTATTACCTAGAATGTTTTATTTTTCACTTCTTTTTCTTTTTCTTCATTCTGTTTATTAGAGATTTTTGCTATAGGGTATGTACACTTGCTGAAGAGACACAAAGAGGGACCAGCAGTTAGTGTAATGGCTATGTCGCTGGACTCCCACATAGTCGACCGTGGTTTGTGTCCCGGACCTGGTGGCTTAAAACTCACGCCGGGCTCGTGTGTGTGTGCCTAAGATCCCGAGAGGAGGAGAAGGGATTGCGGTGTGGCCATCCCCCCTGGGGGGTGATTTCTTGCTTTCTGTCTCTGTCTTTCTCTGTCTGGTGAGCGCACACACCCTATAGCAAAAACCTCTTAAAAAAAAAAAAAGAGACACAAAGAGATAAAAAGTAAGAAATCACCACCTGGGGAATGGCCACACTGCAATCCATTCTCCTCCTCCTCCTCTTGGGATTTTTGGCGTGTGCATGCACCGCCCCCCCCCCCCCCCCCCACACACACACACACCTGGCATAAGCTTCAAGCCTTCAGGTCTGAGACTTGGTTCATGTTCAGCCACGTGGCAGTCCAGTGATGTCACCATTCTGCCATCTGCTGATCCCTTCACTTACTTTTTTCTTAAAAGGCTGTCATCATATTGAGGATTTGCCCCTTTTTGATACTTTGTTATTATTTTTTTATTTTTCACTCCTGTCTTTTACTCAGAAACATGTTTTATATGAGTTGAGTTCTTTGTAGAATGAATTATAAATTTTTTTTTAATTTGCTAGAGGGCATGTGTGCTCTCTGAAGAGAGACAGAGAGAGGGAAAGTAAGAAAATGCCCCCTCCCCCACTCCCCCATGAGGGATCAGCATGCCAGTCTCTCCTCCATTCCTCCGTCCCTTCAGGATTTTGCACACACGTGTACCCAATGTGTTTCTCAAGCTGTCAGGTCTGGTACTGGAACTACAAGCTCAGCCATGTAGGTCCATCATAGGCTGTCCCAGATTGTAGAATTGTGTGACTTGTCATCCTCATGAAGACATGTAGAATACATTTGACAGCTTTTTTTTTTTTTTAAGAATTATTTATTTTTAACTTTATTCATTCATTTATTTTAATTTGACTAGAGAGAGACACAGAGAGAGAGAGAGAGAGAAAGCAAACCACCAGGTCTGAGACTTGAACCATGATTGCGTATGTGAGAGTGTCCAGGACCTTAACCATCACACCACCTGCTGGTCCCTTGACAGCTATTTTTAATGGTATATTTTAGGGGGTAGTGAACTGAATTTTGTCTTTTAAGTCAAGTGAACCAGCTGTTAATAGATAGCTTATGCTGCTTTGTTTTCCTTAACTTTTGAAGACAACAGTACGCACAGGTTTTGGCTCAACAGCAGAAGGCAGCCCTGTCTTCCCAGCAGCAGCAGCAGCTGGCACTTCTTCTCCAACAGTTCCAGGCCCTGAAGATGAGGTTGGTGGTCACTTCATTGTACGTCACTGTTGATGTGTATGTGTGTGTGCATGCATGTAAGAGAGAAAGGAAATGGTATAGTGTGTGAATCTTGGTGTCAGAATTTAAATTTAAAACCAATATAATTTTTTAGAAAATAACAGTTTTTCTGGAGATAAACACTTACATGGTCTTTAGCTAGTAAAGCGTACATTTTGAATAGTAAACAAAGAATGGGAATATTTGAGAAGCAGTCTAGTTTTACGTAACCTGAAACAAAAGATACTGCAGTGTAGGATTTAAATTTCACTTTTACCTATGATATCTTTTTTTTTAAGAGTTTCTTTTTTTTTAAATAGGGCATGTGTGCTTACCAGAAAGACAGGAAAAAAGTGAGAAATCACCCCGTAGGGGCATGGCCATGACACGATTTCTTCTCCTTCATTCTCTTCTTGAGCTTTTGGGCATGCATGCATACACAACTGGTGTGAGTTTCAGGCTGCTGGGTCTAGGACTTGAACAGTAGTTGGCCATGTGGGAGTCTAACACTTTAACCACCATGCCACCTGTTGGCCCCTACCTATGCCACTCAGAGTTATAGTTTTCTGGAATCCAAAATTCATTAAGGCTTGTCTAAGGAAAGGAAGTTATGCTAGAAATTTTAAATTTTTGCTGTTTCAGTTTATCGTTCAGGATGATACTTGTCTTATTACTGAAAGCCACCAGTCACTGCTTTCAGAAGTGCTACTGTCCACTTTAACCCAAACTCTTCATGTTTCTCTTCCAGACTTAACCTATCCTGTGAGTGAGCAGATTAGGTGATAGTCTCAATTTTATACATGGACAAAAACAAGACTCTTGAAGGTTAAAGGCTTTGGTTACCATAAGCACATTGAAAACTTCAGAGACAGAGCTAAAATGCAGACCTTTGGCTTACAGCGCACCAACTTTTTCATTGTCACATGCTGCCTCTGTGCTTTGAGATAATGTGGGCTGTTAAGGTAGCAGCGTTTAGAACTCGCTGTCTGCCAGAACCCTGGCAGGTCCCAGGAACACACTCACTGTGCCTCTTCGTTTCTCTCCTACCTGTTCTGGTGCCGTAAGGCTCTCTCCTCTGCCAGAAATTTAGAAATTCCTCTGTATCATCTTCTTGCAAATGACAAGAACAAGTTAATGTTTTTATTTCCCTTTTGCAGAATATCTGATCAGAACATCATTCCTTCAGTAACTAGGTCTGTGTCGGTGCCAGATACGGGCTCTATCTGGGAGCTTCAGTCAGCAACCTCACAGCCTACAGGTAAAAGCTTAAATTGGCCTTTAGGATAACTCTAAGTAGAGTTTGATAATAATTTTACAAGTCACTTTTTAAAAATGTGAGTTTTTTAAAATTAATTTTGTACTGAATATTAAAAAATTCCACTTTAAAGTAAATCTCAGCAAAAGATTAAAGGTATTGTAAATACACTGTCAGCATTTTTTAGAAATTATCTATTTATAGTAGTAAATTTCTTTATTTTGAGCCTGCTTCTTTTCAACCTGTTAATTGTTTCAACCATTATGAAAAAGTCTCTTAAATTATTTTTTGACCCCTTTAGCCAGAGTGGGAGGAAAAAAGGTACAAATAAAAGTGTAAGTAATGGTATGCTCTCCTTTCGAGTTAAGAATTGATACAAATGTTAGCACTTCAGGTATCCAGAAATTTGGGGAAGAGGAAAACCTGCTTTGACGTGGACTCATTCCTTCATTCTGTGTTCTTTTACAGCAAGGTAGAAAATTTGGGGTTGGGATCTTTATTTTTTAAGTCTGTAGATGGAGCACTTCCAGTTAAGGCCTGATACCTGCATAGGTGGGGTATGTGTTGATTGTGTTTGGATCACAGATAGGATAGTTCGTGTTGAAAATTCTAGGAACCGTGGGCAGTGATGGAGATTTCCCGGGGCGGTTGAGCTGTGCAGGCAGTTGTTTTCTTGTTAATGTGGACTTTCTGGGTTATGTCAGGAGGGCTGATTGTCCTCCCTCATCATGTTTCCATGCTATGATACCTAATATTCTCTTAGTAACCATTTCTAGTTATAACATGAAAAAAGTCTCCAATTCTTTAATAAGCCATAAGCACTTCATTAAACAATTTTGGGACCAGCAGTTGGCGTAAGGCTATGTCGCTGGACTCCAGTGTAGGCGATCACGGTTCAAGTACCGGACCCTGTGACTTAAACTTATCCCAGGCGCGTGTGTGCATGCCCAAGATCACAAGAGGGTATATAATCAAGGTCCTTTATAAATAGTCCTTTAGTTTTATATAGATAGTACTTAATAGTTTATAAATAGACTATCATAGGAATGTAGAAAATAGAGAATGAGAAAAATGAGGTATCAGCAAGCCTTGCTGGCAGTAGGAAAATGAGTCCAGAGCCTTTATCTGTTCATGTGCTTCCACATCTGACCCTGCACTGCCTTGCAGGTCGGTGAGACCAGGTGTCCTGTGTGAGATCTGCCCGGCCTTTCCTCCAGCCTTACCGCCAGCTGTCACATTCTCTCTCCTGCTTTTATTGAGATGCATTTCACATAATACAGATAAACCTTTTACACAGACCAGTCCTCTGGCAGCGCATTCTCGATGTTGTCCAACCACCCAGTTCTCTCTAGTCAGTGTACAGGGGGAAGCCGCAGCTACTGAAGGTCTGCTGAAGGTCTGTGGGCTTTTGGAATAGAACACACTGGACTTTTTTTTTTTTTTTTTTAAGAAATTTTTGCTTTAAGGTTTGTGCGATCTCTGGAGAGAGAGACAGAGACAGTGAGAGGGAAAGTGAGAAATCACCCCTGGCGGGAGGGGGGGGGCAGCCACACCACAATCCCCTCTCCATTCTCC